GGGGGGGGGGGGGGGAAGAAAACGTGTTTCGACTAACCACGTGCTCCTGGTGTCCGTCATGCCCGATGAGGATGAGTCCCGGGGGACGTACGCAGAAGCCGGCGAAAAGCCCTCTCTCGACACTGCTGAGGAAGCCGAAGGAGCGATAACGCGCACCACCTCCGCGGACGGGAGTCGGCCACTGACTGAACGTGACTCCGATTCTCTCTGGAACCGGGAGGAGGCTGCGTCGACCGGTCATGGACCACGGGCCTGCGGCCTTCCGACACCGAAGTCGGTGCCGCGAATTTCGCTCTACCCCTCCCCCTCCTAGCGCCCAGCCCGCCGCGTTACATTTTCGCCCGATAAATGCCGCGCGGGCGACATTGAAATCCGCGATCTCTCGTTATCACATCCGCTATCGCGGATCGTTCTCGCCGATAAGAGGTATCATCCATCGGCGATCTGCGTAACCTCTCGTCGGGGAGGTCGGGGGTCTTCGGGAATTACGGGAAACACGTGCGCGATCGCCGGCTCTCGTCGCGCCGAGAGAGCGCGAGCGTGATAGCGAATTTGTATTCGCTAATTTTTAGCGCCGCCGTTTGCGCGGGAAAACCGCGCGTAATGTATGCACGGATGCCGGGGGCCGATTTTTTTCATTATGCGCGGACACGCGCGCGGAATCGCGGTAAACATCGGCGGTTACATCGCGCCGGGAGGAATGGAGGTCGCCTTGTTTTTGTCTCGCGACGGTGGCGTTTGACACAAGAAGACAATTCATTCCGCTCGAATGTGCACACGCATCGTTCCTGAGGCCGCGTCGCCGCGCGCAAAATCTCGCGTACGCGAGATACAACGTATCTAATTGAGACGAGAAACGCAAAGTGCGGCGGAAACGACGGCGATTAAACCACGCAACGTCGGAAGGCGCGATTACAGGTGTTACCTCGTCCGCTAATAAATCGATGCTGCGGAAAATCTTCTCCCGACGAAGGACGTGAGTCGGTATAAACGGTCGGTTGATATTCGCCGAAGTGAACTCGAGATCGTAACGGCGCGATCGTAACGGCTCTCCTTTCTTTCGCCGTTTATCCTCGCACGAGCGTGGCGCGAAGAGGCGAAATAATAAAATAGCGGGAGAAGCGCGAGAGATTCGCTGCGCGCTGGAAAGCGCGTGACGCGTGCACATCTCGCGACTTCGTCCCGCGCGTTGAAATGAAAGTGTCCCGAATTTTTTCACGAGACGCGTAAAACCTTATCATTTTTGCAGGCGGGAATAATGAATCCACGTCGGCACGTAATCGCGCGCGCGCGCGCGCGAGAACGCAATCTCCGTCTCACTCCGTTCGCTTGCTTCGTTACAACGTGAACGCGCGTATGAAGGTGAAAACAAGTCCCGCGCGACCCGCGATTTCAGTTCAGGGTGTCGCTCCGAGTGGCCCAAGGCCATGGGAAAGGTCTCCGCGGCTTCTGGAAATCCGTTCGTCCGTTCATTCACTCAATCGCGGACGTCTTAATGAAAAGTGGTGAGTCGGAGGGGAACGGCCGGGGGAACGGGCGATTTACGAGCGATCGGCCGATGCGCCGGCGTGTGGAAACGGCGGATGAATAATGTAAGGCGCGCTCCGCGATGGCTCCTTAATAGTAACGAGCGGTATTACTCTTCCCGGCGGGAAGAGGCACGCGGATACCGCCGGGGCACGGCCGCGTCCTTGGGCCCGCGCGCTTATTGACACAAAACGTTATAAAATATTTGACTTGCGTAACAATGCGAAGGAGGTGTCGTCGCGCAGCCGCGGCACGAAACTTCGGTAAGGTATCGAACGGAGCGCGAGAAGCCCATTAACATACGGCCGAATCGGTAAACGAGCCACGTCGTAAAAGACGATAATCATCGGCTCTCCGGAAACCTGGCTGGAAGTCCGAGTCGAAATTTCGGTCTTGTGTTAAACCTTTCGAAAACATATAGCGGAAAGCGGGATAACGCGAAACACGCTTGATTTAAATTCTAACAATATAACTCCTACTTTTTCATCCTGACGATGGTCTCAAATTTCCGTTTTCGCTGTTTTAGCGTCAAAATAGGTCGTTGAAGATAATACAATTCTGTTAAGTTGGAAAGAGAAGTTCAAAAGCGTTAATATTGTGAAAGTAGGTTTTCATTGGTCTATAGGCTGTTTAAATGAGTATAACTTATATTTAAGAATGTCAAGAGGGTAACATGAAAATTTCGACTCGGGAGGTGCCGTCGAGCGATTCAGTTGCTTCGATCACTCGATCGGGACTGCATCGACGTCGAGATTGCCGATCGACGAGCCTCTGCGCCCGCCTTCGCGATCTCTCGCATCATTCGGTCACGGGGCTGATCGCGCCTGGTCTTTTATCTTCGGCTCTTCTCCACGCAGCGCCGCGTAATTATCACCGGAGAAGTTGGACTGCACTTTCAAGATAGGATGACATCACCGGAGTTCGGACGATTTCAAGACGGCAGAAGTGGAACTTTTAATAATAAGATCCGGGAGACGCAAACTCTTGCGCGCGCACTTCGTACTAAATCGTTTTAATAACTGCGAGAGTGGCCGTGCGAGCCCGCCTGCACCGGAGCGGCGTAATTTCTCCATCTTGAATGAAAAGACTCAGAATCGCGTATTACTCGAGAAGCGGGCTTCGTCTTTTCGTCGCGCCCCGCTGTTCTTTCCCGCGAGCCGCTAACCGTCGGCCGTTTGTTGAAGCGACGCACGAGTTCTTAATCGGTGACATGCCTTCGCCGAGTGCGCTTCGACGATTGCTCGCGTTCGAACTTGGTTGTTTCGTTATTATTGAGGCAAAAAGAGAGAACGTCTTTACGGTGAGACAATTTTCACCCAAGCGCTCTTCTCATCCGTACGCAGTAAAAGAACACTTTCTTTTACCTGCGTTACAATTTTTCCGTTCAATTCTTAACGCACCCATGTCTTAATTTTACATATTCTGTTTATGTTACCTCAACATTTTGCGTTGATCTTCATCGATATTCAACACGTGCAAGCGTTAAAATAACACACTTTACACTTCGGTGTCGATTAACGTATTAATTCTGCGTTAATTCTCGACACGATATTTGCGGTTACTTCCCAACATATTCGCCTTGTGTTAAATTAACGCGACAATTCGAGCGCTCGGGATACGTGAAATGCGTTGAATTTAGCGGGGGATTTTTCACCGTGTAGAAATATATTCCGCTCGACTAGCCGATTGTGCGATCGACCACAAGTAGAACCAGTCTAATTAACACGGTCGCAAATAAATGCCCCGTCGATATATAATTAACCACAAGGCGTATCGCTCGTGAACACTAACCTTGACAGTCGATGGTGCATGATGACCGATGCGACTCCCCCGTCCCGCAGGAATCCAGGATGCGGAGTGGAGTCGTTCTTATCCTAACACAACGCCGGGCCTGGTCCTCGAGGCTGTAGCCCGAAAGCTGGTAGCAACGACACGACGAGCCGGTCCTCACGAAAGGACGCGCGCGTGCAACTCACGGGAGAAAACTGACCGAAAGAAGCGCGGAACTCGGAGAGAGAACCGACCCCCGATATGAGCCGCTTTCGGTCGGTGCGAGGGAGAGGGGCTGGAGAGAGCGATGATACGGAGCAAGAGGAAGAGAAGAGGGAAAATGTGGCGAGGAGAGGGGGGACGAGTAGGGCTGGCGTAAGAGAAAGAGAGTGAGGAAGAGACGGGGTGGTCGGCTGCCGAGAGAACGAGACGGACTGAGAGAGAGATGGTGGGGGGTTTCTTACTCATTCATACTCCCGACGCCCCCGCAAATTACGGACGCCGACTCCACGGCCGATCTCGTCGCCGGGTTCACATTCGGAGTGCGTCCGATGCTGTCCGATTAACGAATTTATCGTCCGTGCGCGCCTTCCTCGGCGCGTATCGCCGATGAAGCGCGCCGAGCGACTTCGAGAAGCATCCCGGGGATTTTATTCTCGTTAAACGGAACCCTCGCGCGTCCCTTCCGTTGCGTTCGCTTCTCTCCCTCCCGCTTCCTCTTTCTCCATCCTGTCGGAATAAATATTGTAAATATCGGAGAACTTTTGCGTAAGAGAGATAAAGATGTCGCAGGTGTCAGCGGACTGCGTGCAGCCGCTTAAAGTAAACGCGATTCAACTGGAATTTCAATGAAGACAGTTTAAATATGTCCCTTAAATATCGTCCTCCCTCGCTCTTCTTTCTCTATCTCTCTCTCTCTCTTCCGCCTCGGCTACGGTCACCGCGGAAAATGAAATCGACGCGGAAAATGCCGCGAGTCCGCGTTATTAAGCTGTCCCGCGCGAGCGAGCGCCAGATTATCCGAACTCGTTTATCATCGTTATCGTCGAAAATCGCATCTGCGATAGACGCTCATACATTAACGGGCTTTTGTTAATTAACGCATCTGGCCGTCGCCGCGCGAACAATACGCGCGCGTCAAACGAGCGCGGGCTATTGAATTTCGGCGAGTCAGGTAATCCGGTTCTGCTCCGAATTCGTCCGTCCGTCCGATACGTGCCGACCGCGCTCGGGCCAGGTAATCACGCTCGCATTTTATTAATCGGCATACCATTTTGTTAATTACGCGGCATTATGCGACGGTGAAGTGGCCGGAATGCGCCGAGTGACGCAGCTGAACTCGCGGAAAACCGTGTTTGGACGCCACCGGCGGCCGCGCGCGGCGGCCTTCAACACCACCTGTTATAACTCCTGAAATTACGAAATCCCGGGACTGTTTGCGATAGCTTCTAGCGTTTGAAGCTTGCCACGTGCTCGAACGAATACCTCATGGATACGGCTGTATAATTTCCACCTTGTTGTCGACGTCGTGCGGCGACGAATCGTAATTAACGGCTCGCACGCGACCGCGCGCACGCGGCGTTCATGAAAAATTTCGCACGTGAGAGGAGAGGGATGTGTATTTCACGAATCGAGGATGTCGTGGAATCGATGACAGCGTCACATTTATTTTCCGCATAGATGTGTGTGTGTGTGTGTGTGTGTGTTGCGTCAAGAGGTAAGTCTGAATTTGGATGTTGCGGAGAAACGTGATTTTTTGTACGCGTCGCCCACGATTTTCTTTCCCCGGAGCATTACGGATTTTATTGGTAGCAATTCCGCGCTGTGTACGGCCGATCTACTTGCGTCCACGATTGCATCAACGAATATTGGCAGCTGACATAATGGAAACGCGATCTACATAATATGCTACGCCAGTCACGCGAACGTGATACACACGGAGTTGCACAATAAAGTTGCATATTATCAAGAGTGCGATGCTGGCTCCCGCAACAGTGTCGAGAAAGAAAGAAAAAGAGAGGAGANNNNGGGGGGGGGGGGGGAGAGAAAGAGTTTCCCGAAACAATATTCTATTTTGGTAGTATTTTAAAACGCGCGAGACAAGCATACACACATCCGTGTGCACGCGAACGTTACGTGCGTGTGCAGACACCGCTAGTGTGTATACATGTAGATCAAAGGGGATGCGTTTCTGGATGCTCCTCTGGCGCACGTAAAATTATTTTAAGAGATATTTGCTCCTCAAATATCGGAAAATCGATACGACCGAATATTTCGCGGGATACGCGCTTAACATGAAATTTACGCACCTGTGAAATCTTGATCGCGCGAACATTCGTACTAATAAATAAACAGGCAAATAAATAAATAACAGCAACAAATAAATAAATATCTCCTCCATATTTCACGGAACGGCCATAATTTTAAATGGGTTTACAAGCAAAACACATCATTTCGGTATCGTTTCTGTTCGGACTATTTCGGACGGCATAAATTTTCGGAAGCTCTTTTGATCGCGACGGCCCCCCGACGTTTATTGCCGCGGCAGTTTTTAAAGGCAGGACACGTGTCCTACGCTGTGAAAGGAGGGTGGGCGTCAAAGGAAGCAGCTAGTGACCTCGAGAAGCGTCCGTCATATTTAGGACACCCGATAGACGATAACTATGCTCCAGGATGTAAGCTGATAGAAACCGTGCGCGCGAACCATTCAGCTCCACTAACTTAGATTCTCCATTAACGTATTCTCCTTAATTTACGGACCATTCGAGGAATGTCACGTGCGAGGCCGCGTCATGTAATTGCGTAATCGACGACGCGAAAAAGCTGCACGAGATATGTAACGTCAGATTTTAATCCAATATCTGACAGATCATCATTACGTACTCCTTTCAATATTACATGCATAAATTAATGATTTTAAATATATCATACGTCTATCTTTAATGTATGCACTGTGAATGCGACTTTGTTTCCGACATTTACCCATCCCGAAGTATTCGTTGATTATTCGCCACAGACATTTTTATTTTGTACTTTAGCTCAGATAGACGGGTTCTCGAAAGGCGCGGAAAGCACTTATCTGAGCTACCGTTTCAACTACTACTTTTAATTGCCGCTGATTAAAAGTGCTTTCAGGCGTGGGTGATTTAAAATATAATTAGGTCAGTACGAAGATAAGACGTTATATTTCTGTAACGGCAATCGCGACGATTTCGACAGGGCACACAGGATGGACGCCGAACGGAAGAAACGGATGAACAGCACGACGATTTAAAAAAAAAAAAAAGAGAGAAACAAAGATTGGCCGAGAGGCGCTGATTGCGATATAAGTTACCGAATGACGGGACAGCTTGCGTTAATGGTTACGTTACCGCGATAATATTACCGAGTATCCGGCGACGTGACGCGAATATAATTTTGCGAGTATAATTTTGCGAGTCGGCCGCTCGCGGTGGGAATGCGGCAAAAGTAACGCAACAAGAATGGCGTATTCTTACAACGTGGTGGAAGCGCCTTCCGACGACGCACCTAGCGTGCAACATGAAATCCGACGCGCAAAAAAATTTCTCCAGAAACACAGCGCAGAATCGGGTGACAGCTTGTAAGCGCGAGCTTCTGAATTCCCGGTCGACGACGAGAAATATACACGATTGTACCCCCCCCCCCCCCTCCCTCGCTCTTCGGAGCGCGCTTTTACATTCCCGATAAATTTCGCATCCATTTATTGCACATTTTTTTCGCCGACGCGCGGCCACAAAGAAATATGCGGTGGAAACAATTGTCCTGCGTTAATTCTGAAATAACAAGCGCGCTTTTAAATATCGCCCGTTCGGGGCCATTAATAATATTGCCGATATCGTCGCGCGAAGCCACCAATAATGGTCTCGATATCGTTATTAACAATAACGATAATTTACGAAATAATTTCACGATTACGCGTCGATTATGAAGAACCAACGGTTCGAGATGAAATTCGTTCCCTCGCTCGGGAAACAACAAAACGTCAAAATACGTGAAATAAAGTGTTCGACGAGCACAATTTTTCGCTGGATCGTTCCTCTTATTTCTTTCTTTCTCTGTGTCTGATTTAGATACGATCACTTGACCGAGCTTTTAGCGAAGGTATTGGCCGAACGGCCGCGGAACGCTGTCGACATCTTCGAGCAGTACAGCAGGAAACTGAAGGAGGAGAGGTTTAAGACTAAGACTGATCATCTACGGGATCTGTACACACCACCCGTGCAGTACGATGACGCCAAGAAGCTCATTAGACTCTTCCAGGTGCGGCCTGACAAGTAACAGATAATGAAAGCACGATACACACTCGGCTTTTCCATCGAGTATAAATAACATGCAAGTGGCGCAAACGAGGCGAACTGTAATCTTTGTTTTACCACGGCTTTCAATCTTCTCGCAATCACGGCAGAGCGTGAAACAGCAGATCGACGGGCAGGATGAGAGGGAGAAGATGGCTGATGAGGGGGAGGACAAGGACGACAAGAAAAAGAAGTGTCCCAACATGCTGGATCTTTTCTTCTACCTCGAGCAGACGGGCGTGGGATTGCCGCGACACGAGATGGTGTTGCTTAATTTATCGATTCGCAAGCTCGCCTCCGAGGTACCGGTTGAAAATATTAGGTATTCAACTCTCGAACGGCTTTACGGCGACGCTCCGCGTGTTCTTCTGATCTTAATTCACGTACAACTCAGGTTTTGGGGCAAGGTACTCGGAAAACCTAAAAATTATTACGTAGTGGAGGCGGAACTTCAGGCGGACGAATTAACCCGAAGATTAGAGGTATTACATTTATAGCGCGCGAATAGATCCAAACGTTTGTTTTATTAAAAGTCTTAACTATGAAGGAAACCATAATAAGTGATCATTTGTGTTATTAATATATAATGGACAATAATGTATAATGTTGTATCTCGAGATTCTTTAATTTCGAGATGAAGTATGTAGAATATTATAAAATTAAAGTTTCATTTTGGATATATAATCCGATCCACCACTAAAGATACGCATGCTGTGCAAAAATGTAAAAACGTTGAATATTGTAAATGACAATTGAAAGAGATAAAGAATGAGAATTTATCGTACCAATATTTGTATTCATCGATTCACCAAATTTACCGTATTCCGCTGTAACATGTGATATATTGAAGGTACTAATTGTCAGGGTAGAGAGGGTCGAGCATCCTTCGAATAAATAAATAAACGATACCGCAGTTCCTGCGGTATAGGACTCCCACCTCAAGATTCCCTAAGCGTATGCCTGTATTTTCTTTGAAAATAACAGGAGGAAGCTGAAAGAGAGAAAGAGGAAAGGGCGAAGGTAGAAAGCAAGGCTGAAGCCGCGGCGAAACTCGCGGAGGAAGAAGCCACGACGGGGAACGAAGTCGCGGTTGGGGCCGCCGGAGCGACGGAAATCCTGCGCGAGGACGAAGGAAGCAGAGTTTCGGAGTTTGTCCTTCCGTCGCTGCCTGTTAATCCGTGGCAACCGGTGACGGAAGTGCCGGCCGAGAGGATCGGGAGTGGTCTCAATAAAAAGGTGAACGTTTACGGGTGTTCAATTACCGCATGATATCATCGGCCTCTCTCAATGGCCGAATTTAATATTCGAACCGCGTCACGTCGCGCATTCCTACCTCACCCCTCCCTCGTGTCTCTTTTTATTCTTTACGGTGTCGCGCTACCTCACGACGCGCCACGCTATTTAGGTGTATTTTGTATGCAACGCGCCTGGGCTGGACGAGTGGATCGAACTTCCGGCGGTTACGCCGCAGCAGATAGTAATTGCACGACAGATTGTCCGATACTGCACGGGAAACTTGGAGACAACGGTACGTGATGCCTTTTAATGAAGGAATCCAGGTTAGGGCTCGACGTTATTTGCGAACACGTCCATAACGCAACTCTACTACGCTACCCGCCTTGTTATCCGTTATATCTGACGGCACGCGCGACGGAGCGTCGGATAACTCCGCGGATGCGGATGCACGTTAACGATAGATGAACGGAGCGAGAAGGCGGATAAGAAGTGACGAAGCGAAAAACCCGCGTTCCTGAGCACGTGTATAAAGGGAGGGAAAGAATTAGAGTAGAGTTTATTGTAACTCTGGGATACAAGTAAACCTTTAGGTTTATAGTAGTTAATACAGTATTGGCAAGTAGCTATAAACGAAGAAAAAATATTTAAAACTTAAAGAGAGAGAGAGAGAGAGAGAGAGAGAGCAATCGCTCGACAACGAACGAAAGAAATCGGTGAAGAAGTCGGTGGCGGCTTTCGCAAAATCAACTTGACCGTCTCCTGACTCCACTCCGTCGCTCCGCCGTCTTATCCTGCTTATCACTCGCGTTATCACATCGTTTCCCGGCTATAACGCAGATTCGCAGTTTCCCGCCGTTTCCCGGCACCGAGAAAAATTACCTCCGCGCGCAAATTGCAAGGATCAGCGCGGCCACCCATATATCGCCAATCGGCGCCTTCACACTTGCCGGAGAGCTCGAGGACGAAGAGATGGAGGAGGAGGAGAGGAGGATGGAGGGTAACGTGCGACGCGAACTTGTAATCCTTGTTAGATTAACTTCCCGGTAGACACGTCGACGGGAAGAGAGACTCGATGACGTTTCTAACGATATTTACAAATTGCATCGTGCGCATGCAGTTTATGCGGAAGGGGAGCTCTTGGAGAACGCGAACTACGAACCGCTGCCGATCGAGGATCTCGCGGATCCCTCGAACTGGTGCCACCACAGCCCGTATATCCTCGAGCAAGGACGAACTGTTTGGTGGAGTCCCGAGAGAGAGGAAGAGATTGCGAATGTCAGTCGATGCAAATATTCTGTGATTGACATTGCAGGCAACTCGTGAAAACACTTTTGTCAATCTTCGTAATCGCGTATACCGAAAAAATGCTATAGTAAAAATGATCCCGAAATTTCCGTAATACCGAACCGGAATAGTGACTGAAATTATTACGTGTGTCGTAATCTTTGGTGACGTATATTATGTGTACACGTCACTGAAGATTACAACATACATGATGATTTCAGTGATAATTCCGGTATGGTCCAGCGTTACCAAAAGTCTGTGATAATTTTTACTGCAATATTTTCTCCGTGTAGGAGGAGCTCGACGAAGAAGAGGAGGCGGAGGAGGACGAGACCAGGACGACCAAGGCCGAGGAGGCCGAGAAACAAAGAGAGATCGGGCCGCCTCTGTTAACTCCTTTATCCGAGGACGCGGTTGTCGACTTGGTGATGCCATGGACCGCTAGACAATCGTCACAGATACAACCGGACATCGCGGTAGCTGCGGTCAGATCGAACGTCTGGCCGGGGGCTTTCGCGTTCGCAGCCGGAAAGTACGCGAACCGTCGTGCGCTTTGAGACTTACGCGTGGTCCTTAGTGCGACGGCTGCTTTTAAGCTGGCTCGTATTATAAGCAACTTCGTCGAGAGAGGGGATTCCCTTGGCAGCGGCGGCAAAACGTAGGGAAATTTAGCGCGAGGCAGATCGAAATCCATTTCATATCCCTCCGATGCGTAATATTCGCCGCGCATTCAATAACCGTTCCATTCTGCCGCAAGCGTTTGCGGTCCGGGCTAACGTGCGAGAGGAAATTATGCTGATCCGCTGCAGTCACGTTACAGGAGAATTAATGCGCGCGAGATTACGCTAATGTAATTTTGATGGTGTCCTTTCGCAGACGCTTCGCCAACGTGTACATCGGCTGGGGCCACAAATACAACGCGTACAACTATAGTCCGCCCAATATGCCGCCCGTCCAGGATCAGTACAAGATCGGGCCGGAGGTCATGGAAATTCGTGATCCCACTGCTGAAGAAGAGGAGGCGGATCGAATCGCACGTTCACCACCGCCGCCGCCGACGTTACCAACCGGTAATTCATTAGAAAATGTGTTCGCAGCAACGTTCATTCTCTCTCATGTTTCTCGAAATGACTTGTCATAGGAGAAGAAGTGCCAGCTGAAGAAGAAGAAGAGGAAGAAGAAGATGATGATGAGGAAGAGGAAAGGGATGAATAATTTTCGCCATACGTTGTATTACGAATACGCTCCGAATTATTACACCGTGTGCGTTGGTGGAGTTCATTATTATATATATAATTTATTTTCTCTCTCGTGCACAGTCTGCATTAAAGAATTTATGTAATATACTTCATCTGAGTTATCTTGTGAAGCTTGTTCCGTTCGAATTTTCACTCTCCAACGGTGTATTTTCGACAATACATTTGCCAAGTCTCGGGGGATTTTTATTTTTCATTATTGAGTAGAGACAATTTATCCCGCCTGATTAAAATTATTTGAGAATAAAAAAAAAAATGAAAAGGAAAAACACGTCTGAACTGCAGCTGTGTCATACTACTTGAAAATAAAAGTCTGCTGGACTTGCTGTTGAAGACAGTGGCGACATATAGCGGATACTTTGGAACATTCAACTGATTCTAACGTTCATAAACCGCACGCGGTCGATAGATTTGATACTCGTGTTCCTAACCTCTAACTTGTATTAACCTGTTAATTACTGTACTAAACAAAAAAGTCGTATAATTCATACAAGATGATTGAAGAAGGGATTGAGGTTGATTGTGTGTTACGACCAATGAACTGTGAAATTAATTTGCTGTCAAGATCTGACGGTTCGGCAATGTTTATGCAAGGTATGCATCATTGTAAACAGCATCCTTATTACAATGTTCATGTTGTTCTTTTTCTTTATGTATAGGCGAAACCACAATTATCGCGGGTGTAAACGGACCTATGGAAGCAAAAACCCAGAAAATGTTATATGACAGACTTTCTATAGAAGTTACATACACACCTCTCAAGGGACCAGCTAGTGAATATCAAAATTATAACCTCTTAATTATTGTCTCAATATTTCTCTGGAGTCTTGATAATTGAATCATAAATCATTTCAGAGGTGGACGATAGATTGATTGAAGCATACATACGAGAGACTTGTGAATCTGCTATAATGATTGCACTCTATCCTGGTACTACCGTAAGCATCAATTTGCAAGAAATGCAAGAACGCGGAGGGGTATGATTTCATTTTGTGTCATATGATATTTTGCCAGAAAATCACGCATAAATTTCTGTGAAGATGATATATAAAATAAACGAATGAAATGAAACATATTTCAGCTATTAGCTTGTGCGATTAATGCATCGTGCCTGGCATTAATGAATGCAGGACTTCCTATGAAGTTTGTTATAGCAGCTGTAAGTTGCATGATTGAGAAGGAAACAGAAAAAACTATCGTTGACCCTGACAACATACAGTTACAGGTATTTATAACAATAAGCAGGTATAATTTTTCTAATGATAATGATCTCTTCTCAAATTAGATATATTGCGATATAACTTATTTACAGAACGCAAAGTCGGCGTTTACATTTGCGTTTGATAGTATCAAAAAGGATGTCGTTTGCTGCCATACCGTCGGTAGATTCTCGCAAAGCGAGTTCTTAGCCTCCATGGATAAGTGCAGACAGGTTAGCCAGTACGTGTTTGACTATTACAGAGATGTCACAAAAAAATATGCACATGCAATATAACCTTCGTTATCTCAACATTATATTTTTTATATCATCAGCAAAATGTTATAATTAATTCCCATATGAAACCCATTCTGAATTTTCCTTTTTTGTCTTTTTGCTCAACTACGTTGAGCCATATAGTATGCGATATTAATTTATTTAATAATTCGTTTAATGTTCAGTATTTTTACTTTTGCATAATTTGTACTATTTTAATGTCATTGCACATGTAGGACATTAATTTTGTTATTAACAAGGCAAGACGATAATATCGGTTACAAAATTGTTACATCGTCTTTTGGTATATCAAGAAGACGAATATATACAATGAACAATTGTTCCCTGCTGTGCCAGTTGCAGGAAACCTTCCTCACGAATATACAAACATTCACAAGGTACTGAATGCGATTTTCTTTATCGACCGTGGATAAGGCCTCTCGTGTTATTTAATACACTTTTTTTTTTAAATAATAACGCTTGATTATAAAATCTAATCTTTCCTTGTATTTAATATTTTTATCGTTTGAAAAAAAATTGCAAAAGAAAAATTATATTTTCCCACCCACTGGTCATACACGTTCATTTCAGTTTCTACCTGTTGCCGACAGAGGATGCGAGTGAACTTCTTGATTTCTGCTGCCCTCTGCGGCATTGCAAACTCTCTTCCAACTCTGCGAGATTCTAAACGTACTCCATCCATAGTATAAGTAATTTTCTATTAAATATTAGAAATATTCTCTACTATCAAATTTCAATACTATGTTTTTAATATCATTTATCTTGGAACATATACTAGTCCATGTTCTTCTTCTTCTTCGTACGTTAGGCCTATGTTTCCTCTCACTTATATGCTTGTAGTGCGCATACTGATTATATATAGGCATATGTATATAGTCCACGTTATTTACATTAATTCATTAATTATACGATATTAACTTCGTAAGGATATTAAGATGAAAAAATTGATAAAGATTACATGCAAGAAAAAGATAATAGTTATGTGTTTGGTCAATGTAAATAAGCTTCAATGCAATAATCATTTTTCTTCTTGAAGATCTCGACGTACGTGGATCTCTTCGATCCACATCTTCGTAAGTAATAAGATAATCTTCCTTTAATAACCTTCTTTTTAATCACTTTGATTCAATCTTAATAACATCCAATTACAAAGATACACGGTTCACTTAATTGAACGAACAGCACTGAGTCTAAACAGTAGTCAAGGGAAGCTTTCTCCGTCGTTCCACGTGACATCAAAGACACTCGCACGTACAAGTGGCCTCGCATCGGTATTCCTTGACTCTTCCATTATTCATCCATTATTCGTGGCTCGCTATCGAGAGGCTCGCGATCTCAAGAGCGAATACATTCCGAGTGCATTCAGCGTTGCATTCGGCGCGTTTAAAGAGGAGCGGATATCTGTCGGTACGGCCACGCCCGGTCGCCAATCACGGCCGGTACCTCTACCCTTCGACGTGTATCCTTTGTGTCCTCTGGACCCTTTTAGTCCCTCTTTCTGGCTCTCGGGAGCCCAGGGACTCGGTGGCCATCTCTGGACGTCCATTAAATACAGAAATGAGCCTTCCAAGAGCGCCTCGAACGGGTCGGACCAGATCCTACGGCCGGGCCCGACCAAGAGGAACCCGGCGAGAGAAAGAGAGAGAGAGACGGGGAGAGAACGGGCGGGAAGGAGAGGAAACGAAAGAGAAGGAGAGAGAAAAAGGGTCCGGAGCCGGGTCAGACCGGGCCACGTTTAGCTGAGGTCGCCCCGGGCCCCCAGACCATTAACAAGGAGCGGAGCAATTTATGGACCGGCTCGCTCATTTCCACTTTATTATTATTTTCTCATCTCATAGATGGTCTTCCACGTCGTTTTGTTCTGCCGCGCCTGACCCCCTCCCCGTCCTCCCCCCGTCGCCCAGCGCGGCTTCTCCACCTCGCCACCGCCTTTCTCCCTCCGTTTCTCTCTTTCTCTCGTGAAATTAATACCCACGGCTAAGCCGGGAGAGCCACCGGCGAGCCGTGGCGACTCGGCGATGAGCTCAGAGAGGGTACCTTCGGACGGGCAAAAAATTGCGGAACGCGAAATATTATTGCGCCGCGTACTGCGTCCCTCCTCCCTTACCGCCGCCTCGCGCAGGATCTTATATCGGTAATAATTTCGGCCCGGCCACACCGGGTCCGACATTGTATCCGGAAGTCGGTTAGGTTTATGCGTGTGGGTAGCGCTAATTATATATTGCACGACGGTCTCGGAGCTACCTCTCGCGCCAGCCTCGCGAGTGTGACCGGATTACCTGCCGAGCGAATCGAAACGCCGTATCCGTGTTCCGTATTACCGCGAAACTCTGCTACTCGAGATAGTCGTAGTTACAGAAGGAGAGAACCCAAGGTGTAACGTAATTTATTACGAGCTCTCGAGGAAGCGAGAAATTTCAAAAGGCGCCGCAAATCATCCGGCGAAGGATAGAAGGAGGGAGGGAGAGAGAGAGAGAGAGAGAGAGAGTTGCGTTGTAAAAATTTACTCACATGCGAGAAGAGATCGCGATTGGCGCGATAATGAGAACTCAAAGTTCATCTCGCGACGATGCGTGCACGCAGCGTGCGAGTCTCCGACTCCGTCGAGAGAGCAATATTTATTACGTCCGCGTATATACACCGCGCTTATTTCCTCGCTAGCTGGCTGGCCAGAATACCGCGGCGTCTGGTTGAAACCCCGCGTTCGTTAAAGATATCCCAACCGCGGGTGTCGAATGGAAACGAACGTATCGACACTTTATCGATGTCCGTACCCTCCTTCGCTCCGGCTAAATATAAAAGGTAGAAAAGAAAAAAAAAGGGGGGAAGAGGAGAGAGAAAAAGAAATTAAAAACGTATCCGAGCTTGGACGTCAATAACGACTACGATACCTTCGCTACTCTCTTTTCCATGCGTCATATCCCGACGCGGTGGTGGGTAACGTCTCTCCCTCGATATAAGTTCGCGTGACGCGACACCGCCGTGTGCTGACCGGGCCCGATAAATCCCCGGATGTGCAAGTTAACTTTAAACGCGACTTCTCAACCGACGCGCGATGACAACGTGACCCCGGCGGCCCGAGTATCTCGTGCGGGAGTTTCCCGCGTGCACGGTAATCCTGCGTAACTCTCTCTCTCTCTCTCTCTCTCTCATTCTCGGCTTGAGATGAGAGCCTGCGGATGAGCTCTCCATTTTACGACCCGCCTCTACGAGGCCCGAACGCGCGTTTCACAGCGAAATAGGTGCCTTCCGCTACCTTCGCAGGAGAAGGTGGACCCCGTCGGTCGTCTTGGGCCCTCTTGGTTTCATCTCCCCTCTTCCATCTAGGCTCGCTCATCGCCCTGGCTCGTCTCTCTTTCTCTCTCTCTCTCTCTCTTAAAGCCGGTGCTCGCCCATTGGCGCGAGGGTAGTTGTTATAAAATTAGCATGAGCGATCGGGTTAGGGCTACGTAGGTAATCGCTCGGAGGGCATCGTGCGAGGGATTGGATATGCCAGTGCGGACCGGACGCTTTGCCCAATGCCGCCGATCGTAAGGCCCTGACGCTGCCTTCGCCACGTCCCATTGGCCCAGGACGATTTACGATCGTTTTGCCCCGAACGTCTCCGCTCGTCCGTGCGCGCGCGATGAAGGAGATCGCGGTTCATGGCTCGCAATTAAGAGTAGCGATGTCTCAATGGATGCGTTTGAGCTATTAGCCGGGCTCGTGTCGAGATTAGTACCTCAGATTTCGTTCCTACAAACTTGTCCGATTGAAAAATTCCCGGTTGACTTATTACCTCGGCAATATATTGCGGAAATATGAAATTTGTGGAGTCGGCTAAAATCTGAGGCCACATAATTAGTTATTATACCGCTTTACGTTAAACTCAATTGTTCTAAAAGGAAGGATAAAATAGTTTAAATATTTTTTTTTATTTTTACGATAGGTTAAAGTTGCGTTAATTAGACGAATTTTGGAATGAATGTAGGACTGAAATGAAAAAAAAAAAAAGGAGATAGTCTGCGCCAAGAGGCCGGAGGCGAAATTCTACGCGAACAACCATCCGACAACGCCGAGGAGCAACGAGAAAGAAAGAGAGAGAGAGAGAGAGCAGAAGCGCGCGGCGCCAAGTCGAAGCAGAAGTCGCTTGACGCGTGACATGACTGGAAGTGACAGCCGCCGTGTGTAGGACAGGAATCGTACGTCGAGAAACTGACACCGGAGGGACCGGGGACCTCATCTCTGTCGGTCAGGGGCCCAGGTGCGTCGCATGAGTCGGCTTCTCTCTCGTCGAGAATGACGAATTCACGTGACGAGCACATCTCGCCCGCTGAATTTATCAACGTATGCCCCACGATATCGGCGCGTTACTTTCGATAGGTGATCAGTGCGATTCATTAGTGAGTCATCTCATCGGCGGCGTGATTAAAGAGAAAACGAATAGAGTCTCTCTTTGTACCACATCTATGGAATAATCTAATAACGGCGACCGTTACTTGCAAATCTTAGCCTCTTACGAGCGAGAGGTGAAACCATTCGCAAAAAAATGCGTTAAAGAACAATCTCGCTCCGCGGGTTTCCGCGGCCTTACACAAGGGGATAAGGCATTCGAAGCGACAGCCGGCTTGTCCGACAAGGATTATATATATGTATGTTCATCGATGGGTATTCAGGGACTGTTGTTCACTCGGCTTGGGCTTCGACCAAGTTCCGAACGGACCCCCGTCGAGAATGATGGATCCCTATCAGATGCCTCGGTGGCTAAACTCCTCGCTACTTTCTTGAGGAATATTTGGCTCGTTCGATACCGTGCACACAGACCGAAAAATGAATTTAGTTGGATCCACCTGACAATGGACAATCAAACGCGTTGTGGTCGGAGGAAAAATAGAATTGATAAAGAAAACGATTATAAAAATCTCCCAAATTTCATGAGAACTAGAAATTTTATTTCCTTCGAACAAAACGCGTTCGGCTGTCCATTGACGGGTAGAAACCCGACTAAATTCATTTTTATGTGTAATGCATATTATATATTTACAGAACGTACATATAGTATATTAATGCTGTCCCATT